ATCTGATCTGATTGGATCTGATCTGATCTGATTGGAATCTGATATGATCTGATTCGATCTGATCTGGTCTGATCTGATCTGATTTTAATAAGAATAAGAAAAAATAAGAAAAAATAAGTTGAACGGAATGGGGCCTAAATACAACAATTAAATTATCTTACAATTAGATTAGATCAAATCTATTCAGATTAGATTAGATTTCTTTAGATCAAATCAATATTTAAAAATTCAGATAAGATTCAAAAAGTTCAAAGAAAATAAGCATGTATAAATTTTCATAGCTTCACCAGACCACACCACTTTCTTTGTACCCATAGTCCCCTGCCTTTTAACCAAAGCCGTATTATTCTCCACCATATATCTACCTTAAAAAATCTTTTAAGTTTTTAGTATTTATTATTTTTTCACTTTCAGAGAAATATTTCAATTTTTTCTTTGTTTCCAAAGGGAACTTTAAACTTTTTTATTAAAAAAAATTTGTGGTCGATATAATTTTTCTTTTAATTAGTTGTGTAACTTATTTTTGGGACAAATGGAAGGATCCTCTAGGAATATTTTTTTTAATATTAATTTTCCTTATTATCTCTCACTTCCACCACTCTGATTTACACTTTTGTTTACCCAATTTTTTCTTTATTTCTAGGTAAGGGTTATGGACGTTCCCTGACACCTTTCTTCCTTGCCTAAAAACCTGATATTGGTAACTCGCACCCCATTTATTATCACCTGCAACAATTCTTTTGGTCAAACAAAAAATTGTTTTTTTTTTTGACACAAAATCTACACCCACTGGGAAGATAAAAAATCATCTCCTCCGATTGCAAAGGTACATTGCCCTCTTTCTCCATGTCTTTAATTTGTAGCAAAATTATGTATGCACACACAATATATATGTATTTTTGTGAACAGTATTGATAGATAGATGTATGTATGTATATGTGTAACATTTTGTTGGCCGCCATGGTTTTGGACCCTATTGCTCTTCATTGCCACAAGAGGACAAAAGTGGAACAAGAAGGCTGATGATAATTACTCCGTATATGTTTCTTTTAATTAATCAATTGATGACTATGTATGGATTCTCTGTACATGCACGATTGAAGAGAGAATTGATTCTTGGGAAGCCAAAAATTCAATTTTTTTCGCGTTCTTGATTTGGACCCACATCTGGATTTTGGGGTTTGTGGGTTGATTTTGTGATATGGGGGAAATAAAATGCGAATCTTGATTTCTTGATTCACCCATTTAGGGTTTATGTTGCTGATACCACCTAGTGCTAATTTGCCCAATGCAGAATAACCAAATTTTTAGTTTACACAGTTGGCTAAATATTGTGAATAAAATACAGCTGAATACAATTTACTCTGAATTTAATGATGGGCAGTTCAGAACATGGTTATTGTGTGATTTCACTTTTGGCTTCATGACTTCGGTGAAATTTGCATTTCTAGTTTATTACCATCAATTTTATCGAATTTATTGTTTGAATTGTCGAAATTAAGTACTCGACCCTAAAATAAGTTACTAATTTTTTTCTTCCTTTTGGTTCGTCTCTAAATAAAATCTCTTCCCTGTTTGGTATACGTGAAAGCCTTAATCACTACCTTCTTTTAATATCAATACCTACCATTCTTGTAAGCCAAACTCAACATTTGATTCCTAAAAAATTTGCAAGCCAGAGCAGAAACTTCTTTAGCGGACGGAGGGAGTATGTGTGGTCCAAAATGTTCCAAATGATTTCTAGATCAAGGATGGACTTTGGCGAAAGTGAGGGTATTTAAGAATTTTTAGACTATGTGGCCGATTTGTAAAAATGTAATGCTAACTATGCTGAAACTGACCATTGAAGACTGAGTGTGGAAATTACAGCGTAGCTGCGGTTCCAAGGACATTATATAGATTTGGAAACTAAACTTGAGCACTTAAGAACCTACTTGAATTTAATACGGAGTACTTTTTTTATTTTTAATATTTTTGCCAGGACCCTTTGGCTTTAAACATGCGATGAGCCAAATAGTTGGGCAAATAATCATATTTTGATACTCCTTATATATTGAATTTACTTGATTGCTGAGCATTGGGAGATAAACTCAATGAATGTTTTATGATGACATTATAACTCATAGCTATTTCTCGGCTTAATGATTTAGTACCACGAGCAGCTCATAACTGACTAGGTAAATAATTTGAAAATAGTAAATCAAGAGTATAGTTTTTTCAGGGAACACAATCCAGTTAAAGTCGGCGAGCTAATAACTGAATGATTTCATTTGCTGAAAGATTTAAGTGTTTTTTTAAATTGAATTTATGCATTCCATCAACACTGAAAGATTTATTTTATTATTATTATGGGAGTTTGTTTTTAGTCTGGAATTATGGAAGTGCTTTCCCCATATTTCCCTCAAGAGGAGGCAGAAACAAGTCTTCTGCATGTTGAAGAACCAAACCTTCTGAAACTTCCAGCACAAGTTCAAGCTGAAAATCCACAAGGTGATGGCACTGAAAGCCACGATGGAGGTCAATGGGCCGTTGAGGATATGTCAACTTCTATAGCACATTTTTCTACGGATGCATATCGTGAATATGAAGAGGATGGTCGAAAATTGTCCTCTTGTTCCCATGAATCGGATGATGAAAACACAGAGAGCTCACAGCCGTTTGTAAATGCAATTGAAAGCGAGAAACTAAATAATAACCATGAGGGAGAAGCCGTTCCATGTGAAACCCCATTGCTAGAAAGAGATGAAACTTCAGCAGTATGGGTAAAGGTATAAAATTACTTTCGTTCATTATTATACGTATTTTTATATTTCTTTGCAACTTCTGTATACCCTTTAGTTTATGTGATCTGCATTAGTCATTTAAGAATTTTATGAAATCGGTTTAAGAGTTGTTGTTTGTATTAATCATTCTGCATATGTTTTGTTGTATAGTGGAGGGGTAGGTGGCAAGCAGGAATCAAATGTGAGAGAGCTGATTGGCCATTGTCAACTATGAGAGCAAAACCAACACACGACAGGAAAAAGTATCTTGTGATTTTCTTTCCCCGGACCCGCAACTTTTCATGGGCTGATGTGTTTCTGGTTTGCCCAATAAATCAATTTCCAGAGCCCATTGCATATAAGACACATAATGTTGGAGTTAAAATGGTCAAAGATCTGACTCTTCCTCACCGTTTCATCGTGCAAAAGCTTGCTGTTGGCATACTTAATATCTTTGATCAGTTACATAGACAGGTTTGCTGTAGAAGCTTTTCTTCATTCTCATTGATATGTATAATCATTTGCTCAATATGCTTATTCTGCCCCTTTCCTTTTTAATTACTCTTTCTCTACTCATATAGGTTCTTGTGGAAACCGCTCGCAATATAGTGGTATGGAAGGAATTTGCAACAGAGGCTTCCCGGTGTAAAGACTATCCTGATATTGGAAGGATGCTTTTGAAATTTCAAGATGTAAAACTTTCTTATGCAAATGAGGAAAAATATACTTTTTTTCCTTTCTTTCCAATTTCTCCAATGCTCTTACAATAATAATGAAAACCCTTGACAATAGAATTTAATTTGGTGCGTTTGGTTGCTTTACTAGGTTTTCTAATGTGAAATATCTGCTTCCTTATAACTTGCATTTTGGTACATTATAATAAGCCATTCAAATAGGGAGATAGTGATACGTTCACACTCGTTACCTTACCCATTTACTAACCTCATCCCTACCCCTATCATATTCTGAAACCCTGAATGATGATAACAATTCATTTTCCATGTGTAGATCATACTTCCATGTTACAAAAGTTCGCTTTGGCTGGAAAAGTCGCTGCAGTCTTGGGTTCAACAGTGTCAGAATGCAAACAGTGCAGAAGCCACGGAAATGCTGAAGGAGGTAAGTTTTTTCTGTTTACCCTTGGGAAATTCTGAAATGGAAATATATATACTGCATTTGACATGATCGATTGTCTTGTAGGAAATGGTTGATTCTATTCTTTGGAATGACATAAGTGCTCTCCCCAGTGATCCTGCCCATCTTGAACTTAACATGGAATGGAAGAACTACAAGCAAGAGGCTATGAAATGGTTTTCAGTTTCAAACCCTGTATCAACAACCGTTGGAAGCTTGCAAAAACTGAGTTCTGATAGCAGCAGCGTATTGGAGGAGGTTGGAAATCAGCAGTGCAAGAAGAGGCCCAAACTCGAAGTCAGACGCGCTGATGCACATCCTTTGCAGCAGGCTGGCCATGAATCGGGTGTAACTCAAATCGGCTCTAGTTTCTTTGACGGCTGTGATGCTTTGGATAACACTTCATTAGATTCTGAGCATACAAAGGGTGAATATAATGATAATAATACTAATACTAATAATAATAATAATAATAATAATAATAATAATAATAATAGTAATAATAATAACAATAATAATAGATGGGGTGATATCATTGTTGAAGCAGATAATTCTGTGTTGACACCTAAATCTGATAAGGGGTTGAATAAGAACCGCCAATGTATAGCTTTCATTGAAGCTAAGGGGAGGCAGTGTGTGAGATGGGCGAATGATGGTGACGTCTATTGTTGTGTTCATTTGGTTTCCCGTTTTGCAACAACCCCTTCAAAAACTGAAGGAACACCCTTTGAGGTGGGAATGTGTGAAGGCACCACCGTTCTCGGGACTAAATGCAAACACCGTTCCCTCATTGGCTCATCTTTCTGCAAGAAGCATGGGCCCAAGAGTGGTGATATTAAAAATTTGTCCTTTAGCTCGCCCGAGATTAAACTTACCAAGAAGAGAAAACAAGAAGAGATCCTTGATGTGGATCCCATCTCGGTCATAGGTGGAAACAGCTTAGTTCCAATGTCCGAGTATCATCATCATCCTCATCCAAAAGAGTATAGCAACAATACTGATGAAGTGCTGATGTGCGTGGGTTTGTGGGCCCAAGATGGTGGGGAACCTTGTTCGGAAACTGCAAAGCGGCATACGTTATACTGCGATAAGCACCTGCCAAGCTGGCTTAAGCGTGCAAGGGACGGTAAGAGTAGGATAATCTCAAAGGAAGTGTTTGTTGAGCTTCTTAGGAGTTGTGGTCAGTCAAGGGAGAAAAAGCTTCATTTGCATCAAGCTTGTGAGCTGTTCTACGGGCTATTAAAAACCCTTCTTTCCAGGCGAAATGTGGTCCCAAAAGAAGCCCAGTTTCAGTGGGCCATAACCGAGGCTTCTAAAGACGTGAGTGTTAGGGAATTCTTGTTGAGACTGGTTTTTGGCGAGAAAGAGAGGATAAAGAGGCACTGGGGCTTCAGCTTTAACGAATCAGGAACTGCTAATATTCAGGAGGAGGATGGGAGTGTTATTAGGTGCAAAATTTGCTCAGAAGCATTTTTGAATGACCAAGAACTCGGTACACACTGGATGGATAACCATAACAAGGAAGCTCAAGGGCTCTTCAGGGGTTATGCTTGTGCAATATGCCTTGATTCTTTCACTGACAAAAAGGTTCTGGAATCTCACGTGCAGGAGAGGCACCACGTGGAGTTTGTTGAACAGTGCATGCTTTTCCAATGCATTCCCTGCAGTAGCCATTTTGGAAACCAAGAACAATTATGGTCTCACGTGCTTTCTGTACATCCTTCCAACTTCAGGCTCTCAAACCCTCATCCTCATCCTTATCAAGCTTCTCAACCATCTGGGAGTGAAGATCTTTCGCTGGATGCTGTTGAGAAGGAGGGTGGAAAGTCAGTAGTGTCTGTAGAGAATATCAACTCTGAAGGTCAAAAATTCACATGTAAATTTTGTGGCCTCAAGTTTGATTTGCTGCCTGATCTTGGTCGACATCATCAAGCCGCTCATATGGGTCCCAGTCTTGTCGCCTCACGTCTCTCAAAGAGAGGCATCCGTTTTTATGCCTATAAGCTGAAATCCGGACGGCTTACCCGCCCAAAATTCAAGAAAAGTCTGGCTTCTGCAGCTTCGTATAGAATCAGGAGCAGAAGTGCGCAGACTATTAAAAAGCGCATCCAGTCAGCAAATCCAGCTGGCACTGTGGTGCGTCTAAGTATACCCCCAGAGGCCTCCTCTAGCCTTGACAACTTGGGTCATGACCAATGCTTGACTATTGCAAAGATATTGTTTGCTGAGATGAAGAAAACAANTTCTTGAATTTTGGGCGGGTAAGCCGTCCGGATTTCAGCTTATAGGCATAAAAACGGATGCCTCTCTTTGAGAGACGTGATCCGACAAGACTGGGACCCATATGAGCGGCTTGATGATGTCGACCAAGATCAGGCAGCAAATCAAACTTGAGGCCACAAAATTTACATGTGAATTTTTGACCTTCAGAGTTGATATTCTCTACAGACACTACTGACTTTCCACCCTCCTTCTCAACAGCATCCAGCGAAAGATCTTCACTCCCAGATGGTTGAGAAGCTTGATAAGGATGAGGATGAGGGTTTGAGAGCCTGAAGTTGGAAGGATGTACAGAAAGCACGTGAGACCATAATTGTTCTTGGTTTCCAAAATGGCTACTGCAGGGAATGCATTGGAAAAGCATGCACTGTTCAACAAACTCCACGTGGTGCCTCTCCTGCACGTGAGATTCCAGAACCTTTTTGTCAGTGAAAGAATCAAGGCATATTGCACAAGCATAACCCCTGAAGAGCCCTTGAGCTTCCTTGTTATGGTTATCCATCCAGTGTGTACCGAGTTCTTGGTCATTCAAAAATGCTTCTGAGCAAATTTTGCACCTAATAACACTCCCATCCTCCTCCTGAATATTAGCAGTTCCTGATTCGTTAAAGCTGAAGCCCCAGTGCCTCTTTATCCTCTCTTTCTCGCCAAAAACCAGTCTCAACAAGAATTCCCTAACACTCACGTCTTTAGAAGCCTCGGTTATGGCCCACTGAAACTGGGCTTCTTTTGGGACCACATTTCGCCTGGAAAGAAGGGTTTTTAATAGCCCGTAGAACAGCTCACAAGCTTGATGCAAATGAAGCTTTTTCTCCCTTGACTGACCACAACTCCTAAGAAGCTCAACAAACACTTCCTTTGAGATTATCCTACTCTTACCGTCCCTTGCACGCTTAAGCCAGCTTGGCAGGTGCTTATCGCAGTATAACGTATGCCGCTTTGCAGTTTCCGAACAAGGTTCCCCACCATCTTGGGCCCACAAACCCACGCACATCAGCACTTCATCAGTATTGTTGCTATACTCTTTTGGATGAGGATGATGATGATACTCGGACATTGGAACTAAGCTGTTTCCACCTATGACCGAGATGGGATCCACATCAAGGATCTCTTCTTGTTTTCTCTTCTTGGTAAGTTTAATCTCGGGCGAGCTAAAGGACAAATTTTTAATATCACCACTCTTGGGCCCATGCTTCTTGCAGAAAGATGAGCCAATGAGGGAACGGTGTTTGCATTTAGTCCCGAGAACGGTGGTGCCTTCACACATTCCCACCTCAAAGGGTGTTCCTTCAGTTTTTGAAGGGGTTGTTGCAAAACGGGAAACCAAATGAACACAACAATAGACGTCACCATCATTCGCCCATCTCACACACTGCCTCCCCTTAGCTTCAATGAAAGCTATACATTGGCGGTTCTTATTCAACCCCTTATCAGATTTAGGTGTCAACACAGAATTATCTGCTTCAACAATGATATCACCCCATCTATTATTATTGTTATTATTATTACTATTATTATTATTATTATTATTATTATTATTATTATTATTAGTATTAGTATTATTATCATTATATTCACCCTTTGTATGCTCAGAATCTAATGAAGTGTTATCCAAAGCATCACAGCCGTCAAAGAAACTAGAGCCGATTTGAGTTACACCCGATTCATGGCCAGCCTGCTGCAAAGGATGTGCATCAGCGCGTCTGACTTCGAGTTTGGGCCTCTTCTTGCACTGCTGATTTCCAACCTCCTCCAATACGCTGCTGCTATCAGAACTCAGTTTTTGCAAGCTTCCAACGGTTGTTGATACAGGGTTTGAAACTGAAAACCATTTCATAGCCTCTTGCTTGTAGTTCTTCCATTCCATGTTAAGTTCAAGATGGGCAGGATCACTGGGGAGAGCACTTATGTCATTCCAAAGAATAGAATCAACCATTTCCTACAAGACAATCGATCATGTCAAATGCAGTATATATATTTCCATTTCAGAATTTCCCAAGGGTAAACAGAAAAAACTTACCTCCTTCAGCATTTCCGTGGCTTCTGCACTGTTTGCATTCTGACACTGTTGAACCCAAGACTGCAGCGACTTTTCCAGCCAAAGCGAACTTTTGTAACATGGAAGTATGATCTACACATGGAAAATGAATTGTTATCATCATTCAGGGTTTCAGAATATGATAGGGGTAGGGATGAGGTTAGTAAATGGGTAAGGTAACGAGTGTGAACGTATCACTATCTCCCTATTTGAATGGCTTATTATAATGTACCAAAATGCAAGTTATAAGGAAGCAGATATTTCACATTAGAAAACCTAGTAAAGCAACCAAACGCACCAAATTAAATTCTATTGTCAAGGGTTTTCATTATTATTGTAAGAGCATTGGAGAAATTGGAAAGAAAGGAAAAAAAGTATATTTTTCCTCATTTGCATAAGAAAGTTTTACATCTTGAAATTTCAAAAGCATCCTTCCAATATCAGGATAGTCTTTACACCGGGAAGCCTCTGTTGCAAATTCCTTCCATACCACTATATTGCGAGCGGTTTCCACAAGAACCTATATGAGTAGAGAAAGAGTAATTAAAAAGGAAAGGGGCAGAATAAGCATATTGAGCAAATGATTATACATATCAATGAGAATGAAGAAAAGCTTCTACAGCAAACCTGTCTATGTAACTGATCAAAGATATTAAGTATGCCAACAGCAAGCTTTTGCACGATGAAACGGTGAGGAAGAGTCAGATCTTTGACCATTTTAACTCCAACATTATGTGTCTTATATGCAATGGGCTCTGGAAATTGATTTATTGGGCAAACCAGAAACACATCAGCCCATGAAAAGTTGCGGGTCCGGGGAAAGAAAATCACAAGATACTTTTTCCTGTCGTGTGTTGGTTTTGCTCTCATAGTTGACAATGGCCAATCAGCTCTCTCACATTTGATTCCTGCTTGCCACCTACCCCTCCACTATACAACAAAACATATGCAGAATGATTAATACAAACAACAACTCTTAAACCGATTTCATAAAATTCTTAAATGACTAATGCAGATCACATAAACTAAAGGGTATACAGAAGTTGCAAAGAAATATAAAAATACGTATAATAATGAACGAAAGTAATTTTATACCTTTACCCATACTGCTGAAGTTTCATCTCTTTCTAGCAATGGGGTTTCACATGGAACGGCTTCTCCCTCATGGTTATTATTTAGTTTCTCGCTTTCAATTGCATTTACAAACGGCTGTGAGCTCTCTGTGTTTTCATCATCCGATTCATGGGAACAAGAGGACAATTTTCGACCATCCTCTTCATATTCACGATATGCATCCGTAGAAAAATGTGCTATAGAAGTTGACATATCCTCAACGGCCCATTGACCTCCATCGTGGCTTTCAGTGCCATCACCTTGTGGATTTTCAGCTTGAACTTGTGCTGGAAGTTTCAGAAGGTTTGGTTCTTCAACATGCAGAAGACTTGTTTCTGCCTCCTCTTGAGGGAAATATGGGGAAAGCACTTCCATAATTCCAGACTAAAAACAAACTCCCATAATAATAATAAAATAAATCTTTCAGTGTTGATGGAATGCATAAATTCAATTTAAAAAAACACTTAAATCTTTCAGCAAATGAAATCATTCAGTTATTAGCTCGCCGACTTTAACTGGATTGTGTTCCCTGAAAAAACTATACTCTTGATTTACTATTTTCAAATTATTTACCTAGTCAGTTATGAGCTGCTCGTGGTACTAAATCATTAAGCCGAGAAATAGCTATGAGTTATAATGTCATCATAAAACATTCATTGAGTTTATCTCCCAATGCTCAGCAATCAAGTAAATTCAATATATAAGGAGTATCAAAATATGATTATTTGCCCAACTATTTGGCTCATCGCATGTTTAAAGCCAAAGGGTCCTGGCAAAAATATTAAAAATAAAAAAAGTACTCCGTATTAAATTCAAGTAGGTTCTTAAGTGCTCAAGTTTAGTTTCCAAATCTATATAATGTCCTTGGAACCGCAGCTACGCTGTAATTTCCACACTCAGTCTTCAATGGTCAGTTTCAGCATAGTTAGCATTACATTTTTACAAATCGGCCACATAGTCTAAAAATTCTTAAATACCCTCACTTTCGCCAAAGTCCATCCTTGATCTAGAAATCATTTGGAACATTTTGGACCACACATACTCCCTCCGTCCGCTAAAGAAGTTTCTGCTCTGGCTTGCAAATTTTTTAGGAATCAAATGTTGAGTTTGGCTTACAAGAATGGTAGGTATTGATATTAAAAGAAGGTAGTGATTAAGGCTTTCACGTATACCAAACAGGGAAGAGATTTTATTTAGAGACGAACCAAAAGGAAGAAAAAAATTAGTAACTTATTTTAGGGTCGAGTACTTAATTTCGACAATTCAAACAATAAATTCGATAAAATTGATGGTAATAAACTAGAAATGCAAATTTCACCGAAGTCATGAAGCCAAAAGTGAAATCACACAATAACCATGTTCTGAACTGCCCATCATTAAATTCAGAGTAAATTGTATTCAGCTGTATTTTATTCACAATATTTAGCCAACTGTGTAAACTAAAAATTTGGTTATTCTGCATTGGGCAAATTAGCACTAGGTGGTATCAGCAACATAAACCCTAAATGGGTGAATCAAGAAATCAAGATTCGCATTTTATTTCCCCCATATCACAAAATCAACCCACAAACCCCAAAATCCAGATGTGGGTCCAAATCAAGAACGCGAAAAAAATTGAATTTTTGGCTTCCCAAGAATCAATTCTCTCTTCAATCGTGCATGTACAGAGAATCCATACATAGTCATCAATTGATTAATTAAAAGAAACATATACGGAGTAATTATCATCAGCCTTCTTGTTCCACTTTTGTCCTCTTGTGGCAATGAAGAGCAATAGGGTCCAAAACCATGGCGGCCAACAAAATGTTACACATATACATACATACATCTATCTATCAATACTGTTCACAAAAATAC